ATTAAGACTTATTTTAGTTGGACGGTGGTGGAGCAGGATTTTAATCCCAGCACTCAGGAGGCAGAGGCCAGCCTGGTCTACAAAGCCAGTTACAGAAAAGCTAAAGAAATCGAAAAGCAAACAAACAAGCAAACAAAAGATTTACTTTAAAAAATAAACAAAACTACGTCTGTAAGATTTTGCTCCCCTCCTTCCTGCTATTTTGTTCTTAGCATACAACATAGACCCGCAGTTCCCGGATCTGTTTGGGTTCAGCTGCTTTCTGGCGACTGTGACATCTGAAGGCTGGGGAGTCTTTTGCGTAGTGGCTGGGGCACAGCCTACCCTGTCGCCAGAGGTAGTTTTCAGTGCTCTGTTCTGCAAGATTGTAGAAGACCTCAGCAGTCACATGGCCTAAGCTGACTTTGAGTCATCCAGCAGAGACATGGGTTATATGGATTTACAAAGAAAGGGGTAGGAGGATGAAGGAAAAGGAGAGGGAGATGAAGGCCATTAGGTTTGATGTAGTTGTCAAGGGCTGCGTGACCCGGGCCCAGCCCCTTCCTTCCTTCACATGATCCATTATAAATCATTTTCCTGGGTCTACCTCCAACCCAGATCCAGATGACCTTGTGTCTATGTGGTGTGCTTATTAATAGCAAAAACAATTAATTTCAATTTATGGTACATGGTGGATAGTAATTGAATAAGATAACAAATGATTTTTTCCCCTTTATGGTGTTTTGAAACAGGGTTTCTTTGTAGCCTTGGCTGTCCTAGAACTGGCTCTGTAGACCAGACTGATTTTTTTTTTTTTTTTTTGAGAAACTAAAGATGTTACCTGCAATGTTTATAGTATAGCTTCATTGTCCATACAGTAACTGATAAGAATCAGAGACTAAACAAAAGTCATTAATGTTGAATAAATGCCCCACTGATAAAACAGTATAAGGGTCATTAAAAAGAATATCCTGAATTTTCTTTGGGTCTCCATAGAGATTATTTGCACCCTCAATCATCAAGAAGTAGCCTAGAACTATGCCTGCATTCCTAAAAAAAATGGATTATGGATGTTTGTCTTTGTTTAGGGTGTCAGTTACAAGTTGTTGTGGATGATTGAAAGGAAAAAAAGCTAAACAAAAAAAGATTAGATTAAGGATTTTTTAAAGAAAAACAGGGGAAATGCTGTGGGATAATGCTCTTGTACACCGTAAAGATTTGTCACTTGTATTGATTTAATAAAACACTGTTTGATCAGTAGCTAGGCAGGAAGTATAGCGGAATGACCTGGCTAAGAATTCTGGGAAGAGAAAAGGCAGAGACACAGTCATCGGCCAGATGCAGAGAAAGCATGATGAGATGCCTTACTAAGAAAAGGTACCAAGTCACATGACTAAATATGCATAAGAATTATGACTTTAAGTTGTAAGAGCTAATTAATTATAAACCTATGTTTTGTGCCCAGATTACGAATCCCAGAGAGACCACCAGAAACCAGAGAAGTCCAGACTGCTGTAGGCAAGGTTTTATTGTTTTATTGCAGGCTCTGTTTTATTGCTCTGGGAAACTGGTCTCCAACACCCTGCAGCTAGGTAGAGGTAGAGAGTGGAGAGAGGAGTCCCTCTGTTTGGTTTACTTTTTTAAAGGAACAGACTACAAGCGAGCCCTTCAGGATGGTCAGAGGGGTTTGGTACAGGTGCAATTTTTTGGAGGTCTTTGCTTTTTCCCATCCAGCTTTGTTAGCAAGCAAGACCACGCCCTCCCTGAGTCAGGACATCCTTATCACCAGATGGTTGAGCAGGCATCCTTACTCTATGCTTTGTATTCTCCCGAGTGTGTGGGGGGAGGTGGGGTGGGGGGGTGGACTATCCTTCCTGGGAACATGAAGCTAGTCTGAGGTTTTTGATTTTTAAAACACTTTGCTAGGAAATTCCTTCTTGTTCCTTTGAGAATAAGGGATAATGGTCTTACACCTGAGCCAATAGGCTAAACAGTTATAATTAATATAATCCTCTGTGTCTTTCTTTGGTACTGAACAGCTGTGGGACCAGGTGGGACAGAAACTTCCTTCTATAGTTTATGCTGTGGAACATTTATTTCATGATACAAAGATGTGTTGCATTCTTTTGTGCTGTATTTGTTTAACTCTGTAAAGCTGTGTAACTTAGCCTGTCTTAAACACCTGATAGCCTAATAAGAGATGAACGGCCAATAGTGAGGCAAGAGAAAGGATAGGTGGGGCTGACAAGCAGAGAGAATAAGTAGAAGGAGAAAATTGGGAGGAGATGAAGGAATAAAAACAAGGGAAAAAGGACTCTAGGGGCCAGTTGCCCAGCCATGGAACAAGAGTAAAAGTAAGATATACAGAAGCAAGAAAAGGAAAAAGCCAAGAGCCAAAATAGATGAGATAATTTAAGTCAAGAAGAGCTGGCAAAAAAAAAAAAAAAAAAAAAAAAACTTATATCAGGAAGAGTAAGATTCCATGTGGTGTGTGTATTTACTTGGTAGCTGGGTGGTGGTCCCTGCAAAAGAGTAAGAGTAAAAAACAACCAACTACATGTGACAGCTTTAAAAACCCAGAGGCTGAGCTGAAGATGTGGCTCAGTGATTAACAGCACTCACTGTTCTTGCAGCAGATCAGAGTTCAGTCCCTATCACCCACATGGTGATTCAGAAGCATCCTTAACTCCAGACCAGACTGATCTTGAACTCACAGAAATCCCCCTGCCTCTGCTTCCCAGAGTGCTGCAATTAAAGGCGTGCACCACCGCTGCCTGGCTGGAATAACTTTTATTTGATCCTGATGACAAGTTTTTAGTGTAGCTGTTGCTGTGCTAGTTTTATTTGACAAAACTGAAAGTCAATCCACCTGCCCCAAGATCAGGTAGCCAGTAGGTGGCACACTTAGGACTTGCTCCTGACTCATAGCTATGCCCCTGCCTCTGGTTCCCACACTTTCTCAGACATGTGTTCTCATCCCTGCCCGATGCCTGTGACCAGGCTGTTGATCCTTGAGAGCCCTTAGTTCTAACCCCCCTGCCTGCAGTGATACCCACGTGTGTATCCTCGTCCCTGCACCAATGCTGGTCCCAGGATGTGGCTCCTTTAGGATCCTCAGCTTCAATCACCAAGGCTAACTCCTCTGCTGTCAGTGATTACTAGGGCTCTTTATTTCATGCTAACCCTGATATTGTTCACTTTTTTTATATCCATACACTTGAAATATACACGTTTTTATAATATGACCTTTTGTTTGGAGACAGGGGTTCTAAATTTGGTACGCAAATTCACAGGATGTCTCCAGAATTGGTTGCACAGGGTTAGTTCCTTTCTGTCCAGTGAACCTTAGTTAGCAGCATTTACTTGAACAAGAAGCCGCCTAACTTTCTCCTGACAGCCACATCATTATTAAGTCAACACAGAAGTAGTGACTGTTGTTGGAAAGCCGGGCTCCTTAGGACTCAAAGAACAAGCACTAACGAGAGCGTCAGAGTTTGACATGCGCTCTGTGGAGGTACAACAGACTTCCCAACTCTGTCAGTCCCTTGGCCAAGACACTGCCGTGCAGCCACTGGGACACGAGGTCTTAATTCAGAGCGTCCAGCTGGAGACAGAGGAGGCAGACGAATCACACCCAGCCTTCCTTGTCCCGTCCTCTTCAGAGAGAAAAACGTCAAGAGGCTCATTTTAGTGGAGTCTAATCATAAAATTTTCTAAAATGTTCTCTTCCTCAAATCTGCTTGCTGTTACGTATTATGCAGAATTGCAAAGTAATTGGTAGCACGTGGACAGTGCCTGCAGGAGTCACAACGTGGGCCGTTGCCTGCAGGGGATCCCCACTTGCCAGCCTCGTTTGCCTCTGCACGACTTTTGATAAGCCTCTGCTTGATAGAGCCAAATATTTATTTATGACATATGGCCTCCCACTGATGCACTGTAACCACAGAGAGACTCTGTATCATTGCCAGAAATCAACTGTATTAGTATTATGTGGGGGGGGGGGAGGAAGGCATGTATTTGATTTAAAGTTCATATAAATTCCAGAAGTGCTTTCGTGTCTGCAGACTCTGAGAGCTCCTATGAGAATATCCTAAATCTATCTCTGACTTTGTTTGATGTGGACTGTTCTCTTGCATCTTCATGTTTGGAGACCTAGCTCGTTATTGACAACCAAGCTCCTAACATAAGAGATGTTGGGTAGCATTTAAGATTCCAGCAATAATACCTTTCATCTGATAGGGCTGGAAAAATGAAATAGAATCCAGCATGTAAAAATGTAGAAGTCAACCCATGATTGCCGTTACTGTCTAGGACTTCATAGTGTGCTAGCACATATACCGTCTCAACCTACACTTACAACATTCATTCCCCCATTTCTTCTTGAGTGCATAAATGTATGATTCTCCACTGTTTCAGCCCTATATCACCCTCCCATCACTTTTTTGTCCTTAAGGAATGATCTCAGGTAATTGATTTTCACGTTGAGATTGCCTCTCAAACCAGACCAGGTCAGAGCACAGGAGCCTACATTTCTGACAGGAGTTTATCGGAAGCTATCTTTATGACTCACACACAGCCAAAAGGACAGCATCAACAGTTGGCGGCTCACTACCCACTGCCGGTAGATTCTGCATTGTCCTCTCTTGACTCATTAGCTTATCCTCTGAAATCGCCACTTCAATGTTTCCAATGAGAAGACTATGGCATGGTGACATGCAGACCTTTGTATTGACTTCATGGCTTCCATGTCTCTGGAAGATGCTTGATCTTTTTATCATAGCATGGTACTTAAAAGAAGATAAACGTTGACAGAATACAACCTGTTAAACCCATATTCATTTAAACATATTTCCACTTACATACACTTAAAATATGTACCCTCCATGAAATGGATCCACTCCAAAATATAGAGTTGTATAGAGTCATTAGCTCGCCATCTGAAAACTCAAGAATTGTTCCTAAAGGTGCTTGTGTGTTGGGTCATAAAGCATAACTAATGTTCAATGCTATATTATTTCTAGATACCATGAAAAGTTGTGTGGCAAAGCTGTTCTTTACCTGTTCCTTAAAGGGTCAGTACTGCCTGTACAGCAAGTCCAGCTTCACCCTCATCAGCCAAGCCCCCCAGCTATGGATCCAGATTATGTTTCTCTTCCAGCAGGTGTGTATAATTCATGCTCACTGGGCTCCTGAACAAGCTGCTAGGATGTGTGGTTACAATCATACTTATTGCATTGTTAATAATTTTTCCAAAATGATGTGTAGATAATAGCACATTTATATTCATTCTTTGGATAAAAAGCTGGACAGCTAAGAAGAGCTAAGCAGGAGAAAGGATAGGTGGGGCGGGCAGGCAGAAAAAAAAAAACAGGAAGAGAAATCTGGGAGGAGAAGATCTAGGAGCAAGAGAAGGAGGAGGACTCCAGGGGCCAGCCACCCAGCTCCACAGCAAGCCACAGAGTAAGAAGTAAAGAAAGGTATACAAACTAGAGATAAAAGCCCAGAGGCAAAAGGTTGACAGGATAAATTAAGCTAGAAAAGCTGGCTAGAAATAAACCAAGCAAAGACCAGGCATTTCTAAGTAAGAATAGAACTCCGTGTATTTATTTGAGAGCTGGGTGGCAGGCCCCCCAAAGAGTCAAAGAGTAAAGAACAACCAACTCCGGTGTTTTGAAAACAAAATGGGAAATCTTTGCAGGGTGGGAAGAAGTTGAAAATGCAGGATCTGAGTCTTATAATATGATTGAAAATTAAGCCAAGTGATCGACCATATAATTACTTCAGTTAATAAAATACATCTATAATAGTACCTACAAAAGTCACCTGGGGTGGTGAGGTGGTGCTGGTGACCTGAGTTTAATTCATTGGATCCATGTGGCAGAAGACCAACTTCTGCAAGTTTTCTTTTGTTATGCACATCTGTATAACATAATATGTGTGTGCCCATACAATACACACACATAAATAATAAATAATCTTTTTTAATTTAATAAAATATTTGAAAATTACATGTGGACAATGCCTTTTGTAGACATCATAGGTTATCAAATATAAAGTCCACAGGCCAATATAGGTTACCTCTTTTTAAATTATTGGCCAGTGAGGCCTCAAAGACTCCTTAACATTACAAGCTATTGCTATTACTTGTGTTTCCCTCGAAAACAATGGTTTTCAATATTTCTCATGCTGCAACCCTTTAATACAGTTTCTCATGTTGGGGTGACCTCCAACCATAAAATAACAATTATTTTTGTTGCTACTTCATAACTGTAATTTTTCTACTGCTATGAATCAAAATGCAAATATTTTGAGTGAAAGAGGTTTGTCAAAGGGGCTGCACCCACATGTTGAGAATAGCATGCTCTAGCACATCATAAGACTGCACTGCTGAAGACATCATACACTCAAATTCAAGAATATGGAGAAATCAGGCTGGGACCAACTCGGAGACTTTGTCCCTACTGGTTAGCTTTCACAGTGCTGAAAGACAGTCTACGTATCACCTCGGGGAGAATCATCATCAACCTTACCCAACTAAGTTCTGCAAGCTACAGTAGCTGTCCTGCAAAGATTACACACTGATGCAGTAGTGGCACATATATAGGAGCAACCAAACATCTTCTGATTGGATTTAGGGTCCACTCCACAAGATGGAACTTGTGCCTGGCTTCATTAGCAGGGTCAAGAACCCACTGTTAAGTAAAGAACAGGCTCTCGGGGAGAAAAATACTATGATTCTTCTGCTAAAGTGACATAGCATTAAACTGTCTCTTAATGACTTATTGTGCTATCAATAGAATAGTGTATCACCCAAATCAAAGAAGCTTCTTTTTACAGTAGATGGCAACAAACAGCTAACACAGAGACTCACAATTGACCAACATGTAAAACATAAAAACCTGGAATGCTCAGTCCTAAATGGGACATTTATATCTGTACTGGGTGGTTTTGTGTGTCAACTTGATACAAGCTATAGCGTCATCAAAGAGAAAGAAACCTCAATTGAGCAAATGCCTCCATGAGATCCAGCTGTAAGACACTTGGCATTTAGTGATCAATGGAGAAGGGTCCAGCCCATGGTGGGTGGTGCCATCCCTGGGCTGCTGGTCCTGGGTTCTCTAAGAAAAAGGCTGAGCAAGCCATAGGAAGCAGGCCAGTAAGCAGCTCCCCTCCATGACTTCGGCATCAGCTCCTGCCTCCAGGATCCTTCCCTGTTTCAGTTCCAATCCTGACTTTCTTCAGCGATGAAGTGTAAGCCAAATAAACCCTTTCCTCCTCAAGTTTTGCATTTTGGTCATGGTGTTTTGTCCAACAATAGAATCCTTAACTAAGACAATATTACACTTCCTCCCAAGGCTGGTATCATGATGGAAGAGAGGGCAGAATGGTTTTAAAAGCCAGATGTCATGGACGACCACAGCAAAACAGTGTTCTCCAAACACAGCATAGCAGCTGCACATCAGTTCATGGTGGTTGCAACATTTTCCACAAGATCAGGCAAGACAAAACCACAGCACAGAGGATGGAGATGTCACAAAGCCCCACTCCTAGTTGAGAAGCTATTGGCAATTGATGGGTGCTTCAAGAGGATTAGTTAGCTTTCCTTGGATGCAGCCCCTGAGTGCTGCAATAAAACTTTATTTACAAAAAAAGAAAAAGAACACTTAATAATATCTTGCAAAGAACAGCTCATACTTTGGGGTGACCAAATTGCATATAAACATAAAAATAACATTAATTTTTTGAAATAATAATATTCATTTTTCTACACTAATTTTTTTTTCAAATTGTTTTCATCAGTGATATTGTGTTTGGCTCCATGTTTGTCTTTGTTCTTAACTTTCTGAAGAAAACTTTTTTCACTCTTTCAATCTTGTTTTATTGAATGTCTGACTCTTTCTCCTCCTCTTTAAGGATATTCACCAGAAAGTATCTCTTTGTAATGTTTTCTTTGAGCTTATTCTACTGCCATGCTTTCTCTTTGCTCATACCTATGATTTATGCAATCTGGGTAAATCCTGGTTTGGGGCAAAGCCACAACATCACTTCCATTTATTTAATAATTACAAACCCTTCACTGGTTTTGTACACTTGGCCAGCTCCTGCTGTCAGGTCAACTTCCCACGTTCGTGGAATTCTCGGACTCAGACCCAGTCCTCTTTGGAATAATGACCCATTAAATCAAGCCCCCTCTTCTGGAAACAAAAAGGCATGTACTGTATGATTCTGACAATAATCAGAAAATTCCAGGGTGTGTGCACAAAGTAAATTTCAGTAAGTTGCTGGCTTGTAAACTTTGAATATCTCTTGGTTGGGCTAGAAAGATGGCTCAGTGGTTAAAAGCACTGACCATTCCTCCAGAGGACCAGATTCAATTCCCAGCACCCACATGGCAGTTCACAACTGTCTGTAACTCCAGTCCCAGAGAATCCAGCACCGTCACAGAGACATGCATGCAGGCAAAACACCAATGTACATAAAATAAAAATAAATAAATCATTTAAAAAGTTAATACATTTTTTAAAAGTTTAAAAAAAAATCTGCCAGTCACTAACTTGGCATCCATGATTATCTACTTTCCACAGCCAGGCCATTCATTTGTGCATTTTGATGACATTCATGAGATTTTCCCGAAAAAAATATTTAGGATTTCTCATTGAGTAGCAAGTTGTGTGCACAGACAATCTTAAAAGTGTCAGTCATTGTCATGAAATAGGATTTATAAGCCAGTCTCATTACTATCCCCTACCTCATAATACCAAGTAACATTATGATATTGTATGTGAATAAATTATATTTATGTCACTTATTAAGGTTCTATGTGTTTTTCACAAAATTCTTCTCTTAAACTGATTTGGCTTCTTATATCCATAAATGGAACATGTCAATATATCAAAGATTACAGGTTACATCATAGAATAGCAAACATGTGAGCATACATTTAACATGCCCATTGAAAAGCTGATTCTTGCTGACTGTACTGAATTCTATTTAAATGTCTTTTTTAATGTAGTGTCTCATTGACAACACAAAGAAGTTAAAGCTTAATAAATTCACCCATTTCACACTTTCGAATGAAGAATGTTTTATTTGTCTCATACTCATTCAGAATGTTCATATTGCATAATTAAATAATGAACTTTTTAATAACTGTTTGATCTGTATTCTTCCTAGTCCCACTCTATATATAGACTCTTGTGAACTCTGGTTTTAATGTTATGCCTTCATTCTCAGATCTCTGGTAAATTCAAAATGAATATTTATATTTACCACGTTCCAATTAAGGAATGCTATTGGGAAATCATTAAGATAGCATTATATTACAAGATTTAAGCACATATACAGTCAAGAACATAAAACTTTATTAATTAAAATTTTCTTTTAGAAACTCAGAAGTATGACCTAAATCATAGAACTGTTCTTCAGTATAGATTTCTGGTGAACTACTTAATTATGTCATGTTCACATTCAAGGCAGCCTACATAGTACTGTCTTGTCAGATTGTACCATTGGGTCAAGAGGTGATGCGATGTCTCCATCCTTTTGTCATTACAGAGCCTGTTTCATGAGCCCCTGTCCATTCAGAGTGGGTCTGTGCAGTTCCTCAAAGCCCTATGGGAGAAGACGCAGGCCAGGGGAACCCACGGCTTTGAAGATGCCATGACAGAGTCCACATTTCCGCAGCAGAAGGTCGGTGCTTTTTCTCCTCACACGTGTTATTTTAAACCAAGATTCAACATTGTGTTTAAATGGTTCGCCTTTTTTCTTAAGCGTTCAATTTTCCCTTCTTTGTTTCCTTTCTCTTATTAAAGAGTGGCTTTTGGAATTTAGTCTTGTGCACATACTTGTAATCCTAGCACTCAGGAAGCCTAAGCAGGATTACAAGTTCAAGGCCAAGCTGGGTGTATAGTGAGGCCTGTGTCAATAATAGCAATCACCCTCATGGTGAGCAGGCAGCTGTACCAGAAAATGATCATGGGGCAGAACAGAACTGGCTTTGGCTAGAGGGAAAGTGTGGTACAAGGACTCCGGTAAGCTCAGTTTCCTGTGAGAAAAACCATGGAGCTGTATGGAGCAGGGAATGATTATTGACAGCCTGACCAAAGACAGGAACCATACTTGGAAGGCTGGGTTGATTTAGGGCCGATGAAGATGCCATGGTCCCACACCACCATGGTTTGAGGTAGTCTGGACACATTCAAATCTCCAAATGTCATTAACCCTATTTAATGTGATGACAAGGTGAGGCACTGAGGAACTGATTAAGTCATGGAGTCAAACCCTTGTAAACGCTGTCAATGGCTTTGTAGAAGGAGGGAGAGAACCAGCTGAGCCCATCTCTCCTTCGGCTGTCCACGGAGGAAAGAGAGTTCAGTGCGAATGGAGAGCAGTGACCAAGCTCTTACACACATCGCAGCTTCCAGGGCCTTGGGCTTAGGTGGCCTGTCTTCGGGACTGTAAGAAAGAAATTCTGCGAGTGTCTCAGCCTCAGATATTTTGTTGACACCAGCAGATTAAGACAGGAAGGGCGGCCATGTCTGTGAATTTTGGTGGTTAAAATGCTAGTGTGAAGAAAGGGATGACTTTGGAATGGGCTGTGGAGTCACAAGTTAGCACTTGATATCCTTACAGTAGACTGGGTCACTCAAGTCTATTGTATGTGCAGACAGAGATGGCTGCAGGGAGCTGCTCTGGCCATGACCAGTGTTGCACCATAAACCCTGTCTAGAGCCAAGGACTCTGATGATTGTTTTGTTTTTTAAAAATTCCCAATGATAAGTATTGGATGAAGTGGGAAATTCAGAGTTTCTGATATATTAGATCAGACTTCATTTTATAGTGTCTCTGACCTCATTTTACTGATTTTTCTTTTAAAAATTGTACATTTTCATGGAGTATTATGGGATATTTAAATAGATGTATCTCTTATATATATTCAAATCAGGATAAATATCTCAATTTCAAGCATTTAGTAGTTTGGTGGAAAAAAAACCCCAAACTCTGTTATTACAGCTCTTTGAAATATATATATATATATATATATATATATATATATATATACACATACATATATATATATAAATTGTTACTATCTATAGTCGCTTTATTGACCAATAGAATACCATGTCTGTCTCTTGTCTCTTTTGTCTTGGTACCATCTGACCAACCTTTCCCCTTCTCTCCCTTCAATCATTTTGTTTATGAGAAAGGAAATAAGCATGTCAGTATTAAGTAAAGTCAAACAAGAGCTTAAGAAGTGTCTTGTTGGGGCTGGAGAGATGGCTCAGCAGTTAAGAGCATTGCCTGCTCTTCCAAAGGTCTTGAGTTCAAATCCCAGCAACCACATGGTGGCTCACAACCATCTGTAATGAGGTCTGGTGCCCTCTTCTGGCCTGCAGGCACACATGTGGACAGAATATTGTATACATAATAAATAAATATTAAAAAAAAAAAGAAGTGTCTTGTTGGATAAGGGCTCTTGCTCTGCAAACAAGAAAGCCTAATTTCAAATCCCCAGCACCTACGGTTTTTCTAAAGGCATGGCTTCATGAGCTTGTAATCCCAGCACTGGGACCCTGGGGTGCAGGTACAGGAAGCAGATCCTCAGAGCTTGCTGACAGCCAGCCTAGCAGAAACAGTAAGGGGGTCAGTGAGGGATCCTGTCTCTGGAATGAAACAGAAAGCAAGAGAGGAAGACAGCGATGTTCTCCTCTGTCTCCTGCGTGTATGTGCACTTGCATGTGCACACACACAATGCATGTACACAATAAAAAAGTGCAAACAAGTGGCAAATTAACTCAAACCTGACACATTGTGAAAATATCTCTTCCAGGAAGAACAGCAATGGAATGAGAACTGTAACTAACCAGAATTGTTATTTATAAGAGTTTGTAGAAAGCAGAGGAATATTCAACTTATGTTTCCCTGTCCTTTGGCCTTGGTTTAGGAACATGACACTTGGTATTAAAAGAAAAAGGAAATTCCACAATCAAGTCAGCAGAAACTTAATGGCATTCTTTGCATATTTCTCCCAAGTTTTCAACTGTTACATTATGCGTAAAACATTGCATCAAATTCTCATAAAAATTTTAAGTATTAGCTATTTTAACTGGAGACAACAAGAAAATTAAAACTTGGCACCTATTTCAAGTTCTAAGAGATTAAAAAAATAACTTGGCAGTCAGTTTCGTACTTGCTATTACTGTTATTCATATTCTTACTTCAGGGAAAAGGTAGCTGTAAAGCCAATTTTCGGAAATGTCCTAAGTTTCATAATTTGGTTTATTCATGAGAATAAAAAAAATGTTGGTGTCTGGGATGTACATTGTGTGGCAAAATTTCTATCCCAAAATTTCTCAATCATACTTCCTTGCTACCGTGTATTTTATGAAGAGTTCTCCATATTAAGTTCAAAATAGCTGAGACTTGTGTGGGGACTTCTTTATTTCCACAGTATATCCCAGAATACACACACACCCCACATGCACACACATACACACCCCCATGCACACGCATACACACACCCAAATGCACATACAAACACACATGTGTGTACACACACACCTACCACATGCATGCACGCACATACACACATGTTGTATACACACTCATACACATACGCACAGTGGTATGAAAGTGATGGCATTTATCTCTCTGTGTCTGAACTTTCACTTCAGTCTAGAGAAGTCAGGCTTTCAAGAGAAGCAGGTGCTCAGGAGACACATCTGAGAGAATGCTTGAGGATCCAGAATATGACTCTGTAGTGTTTTCAAATAGAAACTTTGGAATTTAGACAGTCACTAAGACTCATTAAATTAAGACCATATATGATGGTGTGTACATGTTATCCAGCCACTTACCCTGAGCCTGAGACCATAGCAAGTATCTGAGAGCAGAGATTTCCTCAAATCTACCATTTTATTTCCATGGCCATACAGCATTTGGCCCAAACAGTAAGTGTCCATTGAGTAAAGAAATACTATCTTGTTCAAATGTTAAAATCAAAAGCCAGGGGACCTGTTGGAAGTCAGTGGCAGAACGAGAGCTAGATGTCAGGGCCGTCACCAAAATGTCTGGTTCTTCTCTCGTCTGGACACAGGCAAGCATCATGTTCTTGAAGCACGGCTTGACCTTGAGACTTGCCTCAGCCCAGGAAACACGAGAGGAGTTCTGTGTTGCCCCACTCATGGGCTGTGTATGAGTGTCTGTGTTTTCTCTCTTCTCCGACCATGGGGACTAGAAACAATGGCTGATACTGGGCTGACAGAGTGGAAACAGCCTGGAATTCTGAGCTCCCACATTGGGGACTGCAGCTCTGAAAAGCTAGCTGATCCCACCACTTGTGTTGCAGGAGAAAGGACCAACATTTTGTTCTGTCAAAACCCGAAATGTCATATTGGTTAGAGCCACATTCCTTATCTTTCTTTCTCTACACACGTAGATAGGTAGCAGCATGTCCTGAGGTTAATGCCTGCCTTTGCAACTCATTGAGGCCTTTGTCTCTGTACCCCAGTTTCCTTGTGTCGCTCCCCCAAACCTCTCATTGCTGCCTCTCTCTTCTTCCCTCCTCTCTCCTCCTGTATCCCCTTCCTTCTTATTCTATCTCTATCCCTGTCCCTGTCACTCTCCCCCTATACAACACAATTCAAATCTGCCTTCGATGCCCTGAGAATAATTCAGAGTGGAGAAATAAAGATGAATTTCAAGGATAATCACTTACAATTTTAGAATTTAATCAGACCAGCATCATCAGAGAGCATTCCCCATATTTCCATGAATTTTCAATGTAAAATTCAATGCATTTATCATGTGCAAATTCTTACCAATCTCACAGAAGAATTGAAGTGTGATATCTTTATTTTATGTTATACTTCAAGGTTATAAAACTGTGAAAGTTAGTTTTATTTGTATAATGCACATGTTTACTGGTTCAAGTGAAAAATATCATCTCTAGATACTCATAGCATAAAAAATTTGGATGAGATTCAAACTTTTATTAACCACACATTTTGTATCAAATGTTATTTGTCTGTGTCTCAGTTCTTCTAGACCATGACCAAAGCAACTTATTGAAGAGAGCGCTTGTGAGGGCTCAAAGTTCCAGAGGTTAGAGTCTCTGGCCATCACGGCAGAGAGCACAGCATTGGGCAGACAGGCAGGCATGGTGCTAGAGCAGTACTGGAAAGCTTCCATTCTTACCCACAAATAGGTAGCAGAAACAGAGGCACTGGGAATGGCAAGGGCTTTTGAAACCTCAAAGCCCATACCCTAGTAACCCACCTCCTCCAATAAAGTCACATCTAATCCTTCCCAAACAGTTCCACCAACCTGGGTCCAAGCATTTAAACATATGTGCCCTTGGGCCCATTCCCATTCAAACCACCACAGTCGGTCTCCCTAATGACATTTGCCTCACACAAGAAGTATGCTTTGTACCCTAAGAATCACAAACACATAAAGTCATTCAAAGATATGTGCTGATCGAATAAAATAAACGAGCAATGTCACTAACTAGAAATAGAAATAGTTTTAGAACTATGCATATTTGCCTAGTAAAAGGAAATTATGCTTAGTGATGAAATATTAAAGACGTTGTTATTTAATTTTCAAATGAAACCAGAATATACAGTGTCATTTATTATTTAGTGTTGTTTGAAAGCATGGGACAATATGGAAGCAGGCATTTTGTC